ATGTTTTCTTGTGTAATTTGTGTTGTTATTGCGAGAGAAATTTTCCTGCTTCAGTCGGATTGTCCGGAGATAACAAAGTGCATAACAAATTTAAAAACAACAATAAAAACGGAAATTTTGCCTTTAAATGTTGTTGATGACCAGTTGGTGTCTGTTCTGTTCCCAGTGAATGTCTTTCGGCCAAAATTTGCTGCAGCTGGTCTTCGATACATTTGCAAAACGCGCAACTTGCGAGTTTTTTTTTTTAAATTCGGCTTTATTTTTGCTGCTTGTTGGATCAGGACCTAAAAGGTCAATGCCGATAGAAAAATTGGGCAGTTTTTCGCTGGTTTCTTCCATATTTTAAAGACAAGGAAAAGTGTACTGCAGCTTAAAAGACGACAACTTTGCAGCCAGGGAAAAAAAATGCTCACGTCATCTTATTTACGCACGGGCGTGCGTAAATAAAGATTTTGTTCATAGCGGCTCCATAGGACTTATATAGGGCAAGCACGCGCGCTATGTTATAAAAGTTAATTTGGAATGATCATGAGCTGAAAATACCACTAAATACTACAATGTATTTTGTTTCTTCACAAAATAAGAACCTATTTAAGAACCTAAATAGCCTAGATTTGTGCTAATTACCATTTATGTAAGAACTCGGGAAACTGATGCAGTATCCTATTGCGTGACTAGTACTTATGACCACAAAATACAAACCCCACTTATGTACCTTGGACGGCAGCATTCTTAACACAATCTGCAGGGCATCTCACGGAATCCTTAGTGTTTTGGGAATTCATCACAATTAATGCTAAAGCCAAAGATGCAGCAGCAGTCAGGAGAGAAATGATCGCCACGGCAGTAACAATGTGCAACATTCGTTGGAGTTTAAGAAAATTCTCTTGGGCGCAGGACTGAGCAGGTTCTGTCGATGGCGGTCCTCCTTTCTCGGGACCTATTATTTCGTCAGGGGCCACGTCGTCATAAATTACTGCGTCATCTGTTTGTTTCGATGTCGTTTCGATTTCGAAGTAAGGGTTTTCTTCTCCAACCGTTGTTTTCTCCATGGCTATATCCATGAGGACACGAATTTCTGACACCTGCTCTATTGGCTTCGTTTCGATAATTGACCTGCGTGCGTTACAGATTAGATGAAGTACCAAAAAGTACCTCAGTGTCGTCATGTGATTGGTATTCATTGATCGACCTATACCAGGGGCACCCAACGATAATATTCGGAAAATTATCTGTTCGGAAGACGATTTGAGATCTAGAATTTTCGCATCATTTTCTGTAAAATTTCTTGCTTGCCTGCCTCTCCTAGCATTTTCGAACATCAAAAAAATGGTATAACTGCCCTTTTTTAACAGATTTTTACCCTAAAAAGGTCACCTAGAATTTTCGGGAGCCTTTTTTCTGGCTAGAATTTTCGTAAAGGTAAATTTTGATCCCTATAATTTTCGGATCACTATACGTTCAGCTAGGAAATCCGAACAGACGAAAAATTTTTAGGGGATAAAAATAAGGCTTTATCTATCGTTTGAATACTAAATTACGTTCAACAATGCTATGTTTATGTGGTTTTGAACTATATCCTCGTTGGGTGCCCCTGCTATATCACAGTATTTATTCCTTTTGAACGGTGACGTGGCTGTGATCGAAAGTGAAACCCGAATTTAAAAACCACATGTTTGTTTCATCGTATGCAGAAAAGAAATGAATGAGAATTTATCGACACAAGGGTAGTTTGTTGAATATCAACAGCGAATTAACTCAAGACGTAATCCATCAGGAAATTGAGTAATTTGATTTTTCAGTGGCCAAAAACCTTTTACGAGAATAATTTAAAGCATATTGCATTCTTTTTTACATTTTTCAAGGGCTAAAGATGTAATTAGTTATCTGTAATAACACCAAACAAAACTCAGTTCTAATGGGAGCCGGAGAAGATAAATGTCAAATTTCACAAAGTGACCCCTTAAATATTAAATTTTTGAAATTTTACCTGTGTTTTCACAATTCTTGTGAAATTTGGTGTTAGTACGGATAACTTCAAAAGCCCTCGGGAAAAGGTGAAAAAGATTGCAATATTGTTTAAATTATTCTGGTACAAGGTTTTTGTCCCCTGAGAATTAAAATTTCTCAATTTCCTGGTGATTCCGTTAATCGTTACGTTATTCTGCAGCTCGGCCGTCTTTTTTTCACTGGTTTGTCCTGTCGCGCGGATGCTTATGGCTAACCAGGTTTTCTTTAGGAAAATAGCGAGATATGAGTGACTGTATATAAGTCGTGTGTACTTGCTGCAGATCATCCATCTTGACTGCCAAATGACTTGGTAGTCCATTCTCATTTACAAAAACATTGGTTTGCCTGATATAGCGGACATACAGACTTAAGGTCACGTAACAACCAACTTTGAATTCGCCTAGGCAGTAAAGGGCAGACACACTCGACTTTCGGGTCCAGATGCGTCCTAATAAAGGACAAAACAACTATATAGGCTGTGGCTAATATGGCTGTGCGCTTTATGGCCGTAAGTTGGTACTGGAGTGTAGTCACTTGCTTCTCTCGTATACATTATAGCAGTTGTGTTGGCATGTGTTAGTCTTTACAAAGCTATGCATAAGGTCGAGTGAACTCGTTTAACGATACTTTGATGCATGTCCGGTCACTAAGACCCGTTGAGACTCAAAGTTACCGCTTACCCTTAACGTTTTAAAGGATTGTTGATTGAATGTGGCCTAACGCAAATAACGTTAAGCTTTTTAGATTACAATAGATCCGTCCTTACTTTTAGCGGAAAATTATATTCTTAGCTGAGTGAACTATAGGCCACTTCCAAGTTCCAAAAAATCTCACTTTCAAAACGAGGCTAAGTGCGAAACATTTGTTGTGAAAATGAATTTTATTTGCATAAGAATAAAAATCATTTTCGTTTCAATGGCTTCGCACTTAGCCTCGATTTGAAAGTGAGATTTTTTGGAACTCGGAAATGGCCTATTGAAATCAAATGGAACCAACCAATCAAATCATGGTGTACCACGTAATTTTATTGCACAGTTTATAAGTATGTACAGGTTTCCCGTCAGGAGTATTAATTTGAAATTGCAGAAGAACTAAATCACTTAAATGCAATTTTCGTCATATCTTGCGGCTTAGTGCTACCCTCTTTTCAGAGGTCCGTTCTTTAGAATGATATAAACCCTGCTCAAATGTTTTAGAAGGATAAGGCAAGGAACTACTTCTGGTACCCAGGGTAGGTTAAATCAACGCTTAAAGAGACTAAGGCCCAGGCCAAACATCGAACTTTTCATGAGACGAACCTAACTCTAATTTGGGTCGACCTAAATGAAGTTGAGATCGTCTGTTGGGTCAGACGTCAAACTTTGGACGCGTCGAACCAATCAACTGAATCAGACCAAAACGTAAGTTTTGCTGAAAGAGGCTAAATGTACCTCATCGTATTTTTTAGTTTATTTGTTCGGTTCGTCGCATGTGGAGATCGACGTTTGCCCCGGAGACGATCTTCAGAAGTTCTTCTGAAGCAGACGGATAGAACGTGTTGGACGATATAAACTCATTCAGACGAACATAAGGCCTAGGTCATACGTCGAACTTTTCATGAGACGAACCCGAAACTCTAATTTGGGTCGACCTATTTATTTATTTTATTTATTTATTTATTTATTTACATTTACCACATAGAATAAATATTACAGAAAGAAATTAAAAAATATATACATATTATTGCTAAGATTGCACAATTTACAGGGCAGGAAATGCTAGGGAAAAAAAGTTCAAAATTAAATGTAATATTAAGTGACTTAACTTTTGTAATAGATAGAGTGGCGAGGAAGCCCAATAGAAGCTAAATAGCTCGTTGAAAATTGGGCTCCTCATACTTAATAATGATATAATGTCAGCTGCCATATCATGGTCAGGCGAGTTTAATTTATACCTCTCTCGATGAGGTATTTTTTTAATGAAGTCTTGAAACTAGACTAACTTGTCAGTTCCGTAAGATTATGGGGAAGGGAGTTCCATAGTTTAGGTCCTAGATGGAGGATTGAGAACTGTTTAATGTTTGTTCTACAGAAATAAGGTCGGTAGTTATTAGCATTTCGAGTATTATATGTGTACTTGGCGATTAGTAACAAATTAAGTTAAGATCGTATGTTGGGTCAAACTCCAAACTTAGGATGCCTCGAACCAATCAACTGAATCTGACCAAAAAAGCAGTTTTAGCCGGGCATAAATAAATTTGCTCTCGAACGAAGCTAAATACACATCATCATACAAATTTTTAATTTATTAGTTCAATTCGTCGCATTGAAAGATCGACGTTTGTCCCGGAGACCACCTTCAAACGTTCTTTCCGTCTACGGCAGACGGATAGAACGTGTTGGACGATCCAAACTCATTCAGACGAACTTAACTGAGCCAGACGTCAAACTTTTCATATACTTAAACTCAACATGTTTGGTTCGTCTCGTGAAAAGTTCGACGTTTGGCCTTAGGCCTTATTTATGAGTCCAGGTTTTAAGGTTAACGTATGTTTACCGATTTAAGTTAATCCTTTTCATTTATTTAGTCTCAAGCCAAAAGTTTCGTACTTGTTTATGCCAGTGTATGGAACCATAAAAGCATCCAAGATTTTACAATTTTGCCACGGCTTATATAGTACAGATTACTCGCGTCGACTCTCAGTAATATATCATATATTAAGGAAACACATTGCTCATGGTCTCCTTTCATCCACTAAATAATACTAAAAATAAAAATAATGATAATAATAATAATAACAACAATAATAATAATAATAATAATAATAATGATAATAGTTGACATGATTATGAAGTCCTTCCTTTAAGCCGACATTTGACTCTTTTCCGCGCGTCGAGTTTTTTTATCAAGTAATCTGACGAGCACTTCTGAAGAAGCATTGTTCAGTTTTACAACGTACACTCTTCAGAAGAGGTCCTCGCTGTGGCTTATGGGCTAGGCCTGACTATGAACTGAACAGCAAGCTTAAGCTTTTTGCATTTCAGGTGGGACATTCCCAGTAGTGAAGGTAACACTCCATGGTACCGGCTCCTGAGCTTACAGTATTTTTACAATCACATGCATACGTCTTGAGACCCTGGCGAACGCCACTTGAAAGTTGAATAATTGATGCGTCATTTGAATCACAGCTGACACCAAGTAATTTCGTGCCCTGGGGATAAAAATTTCGAGCAAATCAAAGTTATGTGAATATATATTGCAACGTCGCCGCAGTGCCAAAGGGACAGGTATGAATGTTGCAATGATATTCTACTCTAAAAAGCCAATTCCAGTACCCCGTAGCTACAACCAGTTACAAAATGGTTGAGAAAGTTTTGCGAAAGAATTGCTATTCTTATAGTGCGTCACAGCGAAACAATTATTGAGATTAATAATTAATTCTTTTTCGTAGTTGTCATGCATTGGTGACATTAGTGTAACAAAACAACGAAACGGCGATTGAATCCTTTTTTTATGTAAAAGTGGTATTTTCCATCGCCTGGTTATGAGAAACCACTCAAGGAAAACGATCAAAAGCTTCTAAATAATTGGATTGAAGGCCTACCTTTGCTTCTAAGATTGCAACGTCTGTTCGAGCAATACGCCCAGCTGATACAGGAGTAGCGTCTACTTTTTTGTAAGTGCAAAGTGAAAGGTTACCAGACCCCGACGATCCAGAAGATCCTGAGGGCCCTGCAACACCGGGAGGGCCCTGGGTACCATTGTATCCGGGCTGTCCAGCAGGTCCAGCAGGTCCAGTAGGTCCTGGAGGTCCCTGGGGACCTTGAGTCTTAGTTACGTTAATCACCTAAAAATGAAACGATTAACATTCAGTTATATCAGGAGAAAATGAGTAATGGATAACCACACGTACATTACACATTTACCTGTTGATTTAGAAGTGATATTTCCTGCCTGATGATCTTAATTTCCGCTTGCAGGAGAGTTGAATTATCCTGATTCAAAACATAAAATGTGAATAATAAAACAATGTCAAGGTTTTTCACACCAATAAGTTGCTCTACAAATCTTCAATTATTTGATTTGGCATAAGGCATAACTTATGCCTTTGAACAATTGATATAATTGTTTTGCACCGTTCACATATCATCCAACAGGCTAACAGCCCTAGGTAACCCAAGACAATCTTAGATTCTGGATTCCACGCCGAGGATTCCGGATACCAGATACTGGATTCCAGTCTTTGTCAGTGGAACTTGGATTCTGGATTCCAAGCGTTAATATAGTGAGATTTTGGATTCCTTGAGTTGAATTCCGAATTCCACGAGCAAAATATTCTCGGATGCCGGATTCCACAACTAAAAATTTCCGGGATTCCGGATTCTACGAGCCAAAAGTTCCTTACATCGTGCATATTCGTACTGGAGCTTAAGTTTAGATTTATAGTCCACTTCCAAGAATGTTAACCATGAATAATTTTATACCGAGTGATTTCACTTTAAGTCTCCATTGGGGGTAATCTTGTTCATCACGCAAAAACAGTAACTGAATAATTTTCCGCTAGCTGTAGTTATTTACCTGAAATTAAATTTTTCTTTAAGGTATGCAATAACCACACCCAAACTGTACTTGTTTGTGAATTTTAAAAAAAAAAGATACCTTGTCTAACGATGATCCACCGGTTACTTTAGACAGGTTCATTCCTTTGAGTCCTACCACCTGCAAAGATTAGCACAGTTTCTTTTGGTTAATAGAGCTCTTTAGCTTGTGTGTTTTGTTTTTCCAATACAGGTCATAGCATAATACTTTAGAGAACTGTTTCTTTCATACCTCCATCATCACTTGTTCATATTTCGCTTTAACGTCATCATATTTCTTTCTCATTTCGTCTAGTTCTACTTTGACCTGTTAAAAAATCCACAAGAGGTTGGAACAAAACAACACAAAGAAAAGATCAACGGTAAATCACAGAAACAACACAAAACAAAAAAAGTACTTGTTTTGCCTATTTCATCATATACCTACTGTTACACGTCCAACATTTCTATGTTGTTGACACCGCAACTATGAATACTAATAGAGGGAAAACGTTTTTAGCAGCATTGAGGTAGACGAACCTTGCGCAAATTGTTTGAGGCTCTAGGGCATCGCATTCCGAACAAGCCAGAATGAATCATTTAACTATGTGTCCCCCTTTGCACGTATGATTCAGTTGGTAGTTTAAATATAAAAGCTGTAATGGACAGAAAATTAAAGCCCTGTATGTATTCAAATAAACTCACCGCAATCATCGAAGCAGTCGAAGTATCTTTCAAAGAAGATATATTGTGTTTAAGATCTTTCATGTTCTTTGAAATTTCAAAGTAGGGAGTACTTGAACTTGAAGTTTCACTTCCTGGTGAAAAAAAGAAAGAAAGAAAGCAAAAACATCTAAAGTTGATGAAAAAAAAGGATTCGTGAAACTTAAAAGCAAAAATTGCTATTCGTATCCAATTTGATAAATAAATGCTTCTATTTAAAATTAGAAAGAATAGAGCGTTTTCACGTGGCGTGACGTCCTCCATATTGGTGTTCCAAAACAATTAAACGGCGGCCATGTTGGTGTTCCAAACCAGTCCTCTGAGGGTTGAACATTTATCTTTTGTATTAAAAAGCTTTCTTTTGTTCCAATATATTTGCACAGCTGCTGACCACGTGAGTGAAAACGCTCTGATGATTGACGCCAAAAAATGTTAAGTTTCCCATTAAATTTATTATTGTCTCAATGTAACGTGATAACTCAACTATCTACCTCCTTTGTATCTGAGTGCTTACTACCGTGTGAGCAGATGTTCCTTCCTTCTTCTTCAGTAAGTCGCGTAAACAAACCATCTACGCCACTGACAAGCCACGCGAACGACCTTACAAATGCTAAAAGCCATGCCCTAGAAAAAAACCTGTGCTCGCAGGGTAAGAATAACACAATAATGGGATGTTTATCCCATTGAAGCAAAATGTTTCGCGTGAGTGTCACTTGCAGCCGTTGCCTTTTTTTTCATTGTATCGGTGGAGATGAGCTATACTTGAAAAGACAACGGCAGGAGAACCAAGGCTAGCCTGCGCATGCGTTGCAAGCGTTTCCAATCGAGTTATTGCAAGAAATTTGGAGCTAGAGCAAACGAAAAGAGAGATCGACTGGGGAGGGGAAGGTCCCACTTTCTCGACATGCTTGCTACGCAGGCTAAATCAAGGCCAATGTCATGAATGCGAAGTTACAATGTAGACGAATGTATGTTTATTTAGCTGTTTGTTCCGTCTTATGTCACTGGAGTCAAGCAGGCACAGAGTCTATATTTAGCCCGCGTACAATTTTGGTGAATTTTTTGAATCTTTAAAATGTACATAAAACGCAGTTTTTCTATTTCAAAATGCTTATAAAAAAACGACGTAATCCTACAGCAAAGGCATCTTCCTTGGAAGGAAAACTGAGATCAACCAATTCCCAAGGGTTACCAATTAAGTGAAATTATAGTTCACTTTGGCCGATATTCAGGATCCCAACTTTGCATGTGAAAGAAGAAGCATTGTCAGTGTTCTGTATTGTATTTAAGGAATGCAATAAAAAGATATGTTTACTCAAGTTCCGAAAATATTTTCCGTGCAAGCCGGGGGTAAATAACTGATTTAAGAAGAATTTTCTAGTGAGCATTCATGACTTCATCCTTTTCCTACCCATTATCGATAGAGTTTTTTCACTTTGACCCAGTTTTTTTTATACCAAAAAAGAGCAGCTAATTAAAGCTTTCTTTTCCACTTTTCGAGTAAAAGTGAGACACAAATTTTATAACGCTCAGCTGTCGACATATAATCTATTTCCCTGTAATAAGTAAACCGAACTCAACTCACAGTATGTTTTAAAGGTATCAAAATACGGTGAACCCTTGGATTGCGCACTCAGTGCCGAAAATGGCTAATCGTCTTTCGTATGAAACAGACAAAAGAAGTTATCATTACCTTCTCGGGGGGTTTAACTAAACCTTACGTGTGAGAGCAGATTTATGTCATATAAAGTAAACAAAATGTGTTCTTAGGGTCAGCAGGACTGTACCCAACAACCATGAAAGGCCATGACATTCCATGGTCCAAATAATTTTATATTGACGTGATATGTTCAATGTGTGGGTACCTCTAAAACGATACCTTCTCCTTTACAGTAAACAAAAAAACTCAATACTGCAAAAGTTAAACAAATTGATGGTTTTATAATGTGCTAACTTAATTATTTATGTACGTTAATGAGTTCAAAAATTAACAATAATACCCCTACGTGGATTAACTATTTACTTTTTAGGGTAATTGGTGTTCAAGGGATCCGTTATCTGTTTAAGAGCAAAAGTTGCTACTGAGAAAGGTACCTTTTTTAGGAAAATGGTTAAATTACATAAACTTTTCTCAATATTATTGCCACATGTTATTTCCTTTTTGTTAATTTCTGCGTCATCAAGGACATCAAAGGGACTCAAATTTAAGGCACAGCCTACCGTGTGGCACGACATTTTGGCGGATTCTAATTTTTCCGATTTTTGCGATTTTTCCAGCGATCTGCAAAAATAAGTTCGCGCAAATAAAAACTACAGCAGACATTTTTCCGCAAAATTTACTCCAGAGTAAATATTCTCAAACATAAATTCGCTTCACAAAAATACAGTACTAAGAAATCGTATCTGTAAATTGCAACTTGCCTCTTTCATTCAGAAATAAAAACGGTATACAATGAATTACTGGTTTAATTACTGGGTACTGGGTACTTTATGAACTGATCGCAAAAATTAATTCCCAGCAAGAAAAAACAATTTGTCCTAATCGCAAAAATTAGCTCCCGCAAAACACAAAAAATCGCCAATCCGAAAAAATAAACCCCAGCAAAAATTTCGTGCCACACTGTATATTGAACAGAATAGGCCAGCTTGCATTCCCAGATAAATTAATCAGAACCTTATGTAGAATGCACTGTCCCCAAAATTTTAAGAATGCCAGATTATATTTTAATACCAGCGTGTTTTAACGAAAAATATTTTTTCGAAATACCTGTTTTCCCGGAGCAAGCGCACTTGAAAGGCTCAACCACACCAAAAAACATCAGCAGAGTCAGCACTATTGAAACCGCAGACATGGAACATACAGCTAGCAATATGACCCGGTCACAGGCATGAGATCGCTTTGAGGATGCGATGGCTTCATCTGTGCTCCACCGTAGATGCTTTGGAGTGTGACTCCCCGGATGATCTATATTTCCATTATGGAATTGGTTGATCGAATCTACTGTCTGCTCTTCAGGATCATCATCCAGGGCCTCTTGAGATTCACTCGCAATTTCGTGATCGTCGTAGACTACTTGCATGTCATCGATATTAAAGTTGTCCTCTTCTTTTTCGTGACGTAACGTAGAGGAGTCTGGAAGTCCATTCTCGACATCGTTCGTCGACACAAGTTGCTCCGGCCAAACACGACCACTCATGCGAGACATCAGAATAGTCTTTTCTCTTGCTGATTTCCCCTGTAATGCCTGGACTTGCTGTTTGCCTTTCAAGTCACTTTGGCTTTAGGTTTTTTTAGCGTCTTGTATCTGCAGGTTGAATGGATGTCAAGCTTTGTCAGTCAAAAAGCACTTGAGGCGTATTGAAAAATCGACACGTTGTCAAGGAAACGCGGATGATGACAACCTATTTAAAAAATGAACATTTTTTTATCGTCAACTGTTATGCCTGTATTGATGTGAATAAACAGGTACTCGGCCTTTGAAATAGTAGGGGAGAACAGTATTTAAGATAAGTTGACCCTTTGAAGGAGCCTGACATTGTAGGCAGATTATAGTGATTATAATAAAACATTTGGATACAAAAATTGCTTAGTCACTACATATAACTTTGAGTTTAAAGCGATAGAAGGCGATGGCCAATTCGCAAAGTGTAAAACAGTTTGTAAGTTAAAAAACAGCTCAATCATTAGCCCATAAAGGGGGTTTTCAATTACCTGGAAATCTCACGGACTATCATATGAAATATTTTTGCCTCTGGGTGTGTAATTTATCTGTTTTCTAAAAATTTGTCCTGAGATTTTTTGACGTCTTTCCTTCTTTTCCTTCAATCTTTCGTTTGATGTCAGGGTGGCTTGGTAACCCACAAATAGATTTTGTCAAATCGTTCCTCCCGCCAATTGCAAACGTTTATCAGCAGTGAGGGGTCAACTTGAAAGGTTTATAAATCTAGTGTCTCTCTAGGACTCGTGCTCTGCTGCTAAAGGGCGGGAGGCTGATTTTAATCTAACAATTTTTTTCTCTGGATCTAAATGAATGTAAAGAGATACTTTTCACTGAGTTCAAAGACGACAAAACGACATTGAAGAATTTTTCTTTATTAACACGATAGTCCTAGTTTCTGAGAGAATCCAGTATCGGCAAAGATCCATAAAACTTTGTGCGAAGATCAATCCAACCACAAAAACCCATATTGGGTTGTTCTCGACCGAGTGAAAAATAAATGATTCAGAGAGATGCTATGATTTGCCAGTGATTGTGGCGAGCTTGTGCAAGTTTGTTTTTCAATAATTGCACGACCATACCATTATAATTTGTATTTACGTATGGAAATGAAAAATAAGGTATATAAGATACTAGTTTACCGATATCAAGGAAATCTTGAATGCCGGAGTATTTTACTTATCTCGTGAGGTAAAAGTTGTAAGGGAAATGATTTCGCTAAGAGTTGTGTTCTTCCACATGAAGAAACTAGGTTTTTAACCCAGGGAAAAAGATGTTTACTCAAGCGCCCGCTTTTTTATACTAACTGACGGAAGGTTGTACCTGTATGGACCAGTTGGGACTGGAAGTCTTCTTATGGCTTCACTTGAAATCAAAAGAGAATCCATACATTGACCAAATGAAACGGTACATTAACTTGAAAGCATCCCTGCTTTCATTTGCAGATAGAGGAGATAAAACTATGCTATTTACAGGTTTGTGTCGTAGTGTGTAAAAACAAAACTTCCAAAGTCGGGTGGCAAAAAGGTAGTGCCCCTCTTGGCATCACGAGAATCCAGTTGTAACGAGGTTAATGTCCTGTACCCACGCCCTGTGTTAATCGGCAGTGTATATTAACAGTAGATACAGTGACTAAAGTTGGTTTTTAGTTACCTGACTGGGTTTAAATTGAAGGAGAAAACCGCGGCAGTCCTGGCACCGTAACTGATTTTCGGGAATGTCAGTCTTGTCAAATTATGTCTATTTAGTGCGTTTTACCAGCTTTCGCGGCTCCTACGTTTGTTCATTAACGAGATTATGAGCTACATATATAGCATCCCACAAATTTCCCATATAATACATTCATGTCTCGAGATATGTTTACAGAGGCTAGGATAATAAAGTTGCTTGTACACACGTTCTCAATTAAATCTAAATTTGTGTCTAAATTAATCCTTTTTATCATACATACACGCAGTCATGTAAGCATGGAAGGGAGTCGGTGTTTTTCATCAGATTAAGGTTAAGTTGCTGTTTAGTTAAGTGTGGTAAACTTGGCAGCTACAACGCACGTACACCAACTGAGATAAGCTACGTTGTCCCTTTTCAGTCTCTGGAAAATTACTTATGAGTACTTTTAACTTTTGAGTAAGCTCTGATGGGAGTACTGATGTAGTACAACCATTCTACTAAAAACAAATTCTTCATATCTTCCTCGAGGAACTTGAAATTTTTACGTGACTCTCGTGAAAAGAAAATTGTAGAATTAATAAAATTGCATAGAGGCGGAACCCACTTTAAATTAAAGGTTTATACTTTGAATGTGATCGCTGTTTTACTATAATTATACTGCGACTGGTACGTTCAGCGATCGTGATGATTCGTCAGGGGAAGCCGGGTAGCGATTGAAGCCATGCGACAAAGACGATCGGGGTTCGCTAGGTTACTTTTTAGTTCCACTTTTTGGCTGTTTAGTAAACACGGTTTAAAATTGTTTCCTTCATAATAAAACCTGCTTACTACGATTGCAAATTTAGTGCAATTACAAAACACCTTGAATTTCATTTGAATCCTGTTTAAAAACCTGTGTTCCAGTTTCACATGTCTGCTTTATTTTTCAAAACCGGGTTTTATTAAACATGCTTAGTCGGTGTGAATAGCGCAATAAACAAGTAGATGATTTGCTTTATGGTAAAGACTTTTTTTAATTGAACTAGCCACTCCTTTTCACCTAGGCGCGAAAAAAAAGCCCCAGTTTGTAGGATCAGTTTCATTAGTCACAGATAAGCTGAGTATACTTAATCAGTAAGACGATTAACCCCACATCATCTGTTAATAGTCCCTTTCTAATGGAACTAGTTTCAGCACATTTTTCTATTTTTAGTCTTGAATAGCGTTTTTAAAGTACAAACATTTAAAACCACAAGGGACTGCAAAGGACCGCAAACGAATATGCCGAAGAACGTAGGATCTCTAAAGACAAAGAGAGCGAAACAGCTGTCTATGGCTACAATCCCGCTCTGTTTTGAGTTCTTTCGGTGTCGTGTTGATGTCTTGCAGAGTTAATTTTCACGTATTACGATCAGCATTGCAGTATTCTGCTTGCAGAATTTAACATGTCAGCGTTTTTAAACACATCTACGAACTGCCAAAAGGGATCAAAATATTTGATCATCGTGCAATTAGAAAGTAATTAATTTTCAACCTGTCAGATTGCCAAGCATAAGAACAAATTAAAGAACACGTACTGAGTGAGGGAAAAAACTGACACCACGGAGAAAAATATTTGCAAGACACGAACAAAACACGCAAGCAATAATAGGATAGTAGCACTAGCATAGTTAGAAACCTGTCAGATTGTGGAGCATGTAAAGCCCGGGGGGGGGGGGGGGGGGGGGGTACCTCCTGGGAACTCCTTTGGGGGGGTTCCCCCCGGGTTCCCCGGGTGCTATCCTTTTTTTAGTTTTTTTATCGGGGGTTTCCCCCGGGAAAAAAAAAAAAAAAACGCCGAAATTGAGAAAAAAAAAAAAAAAAATTATTTACAGGGAGAATAAATAAAAAAAAACATCTTTAAGGCGGCAACATTTGAATTACCCCATTTTTTGACCCTTGACCCATCTTGTTGTGTAAAAGGGTAAGGGGGAATGCCAACACCCTTTTTGCATTTTTTTTTGTTTGGAGAAAAAAAAAAAAAAAACCTTCCTTCCCAAAATTTATTTTTTTTTTTATAAAAAAATAAAAAAAATGAAAAAAAAAAAAAAAAAAACAAAAAAAAAAGAGAGAGGACCACAAGAAAAAATAAACAAACGGTGTGGGGTGGGGGGGTGGGGGGGGGGGGGGGGGGGGGGGGGGGGTAGGTACTCCTGCGAACTCCTGTTGGGGGTGTACCGCCCGGTTCTCCAGATGCTGATCCTATTTCATGACTTATATCAGGGAGTTCCCCCCGGATATAAAGAACAAATAACGCGCAAATTGAGAAAAAAAAATACAGTACTTATTCCAAGGAGGAAAATAAAACACGCAAACAATATTGGGATCTTAGCACTAGGCAACTTGTTCGTTTGTAGTCAGTACAGCTTAGTTAGAAAGTTTGTCTTGGCTAAGGTAAACAAAGACTGTCATGTTTGTTGTTTTAGAGAGTCAATGAATATATTTTGGTTTTTCTAAACTAACTGAGGTACTTCGCGTGTTCTATAAGCCTATTGTTTGTTATATACGTAAACTGATAGAAAATTACAGATCATTGTACACAATTGGTAATATATAAAAGTAGAAGAACGAAAAACGTTCGAAGAGCTTGTAAATCACTCGTCCTCGGCTCTTGATTTCTCATGTGAAGGTTCTAACATCTTCCGGAGATCGCGACTCCTGGGGTGGGGGTGGGGGTGATACTGCCCTATAAGAAGACTGGGGGTGCTCCTAGGGGGTAAAAATTGTCGATTGGATTGGTACCACTTACAGGGCTTAAAGCATTAAGATATACTCTAGCCCTTGTGGTCGTTTTTGTTTCACAAATAGGCAGGGCAGAACTAAATTTCTATAGAGAGTACTGAACTATAAGGCATGTTGGCTTTAAAACGACCGAAGTGTCATTTGTACTGTGTGAGAACGTTGAAATTGTTGTTTAACGGTTTTTCTTTGTTTTTCGTTGCAAAGAGAGCGATCTTTGAGCTATCTAGGCTACCTGGGTTTTCGAACCCCAAGGTTACTGGTTAATAAGCTAAGCGAACTTCGAACTAGCTTGCGAAAACATCCGGTTCTCCTCGCTCTTCGCCGTGCGAAACGTTCCCTGCGGCGAAGAGCGAAGAGAAATGGATGTTTTCGCAGGCTATCTTCGAACGTGATATGTTCAAAAAAATAGTTTCTCTAACCCACGTCTTTCGTTATTCAGCTAGGCTTTGTGACAATCAAGATGTTTTGAAAGTAGAATAGTTCGATGCCGAAAAGCCCGAGGAAATTAGTACTACTTTCGTGAAGGGAGGCTCCAAAGAAGAAAAGAACGGACAGGAGGAAGGAAAAGAAAGGATATCTATTATTACGTAATGATAATTCTTACGTAATATAATGCCACTAATTACATGAAAGATGCCGGACCTTGATACTCTTCAACTCACTATCACGGAAATGTGCATTCTCTGTTTCTATACACTGCATGAGTAGTTCACGTGAGAGATACATTTGACAAATACGCTTCACAAACTTCTGGTTTAACAGAATTTTTGAACAGGATTGTATCAGATCGGGCAGCAAAATATTTCCGTCACTGACTGCTCTGGCAGGTTAATGTTAAATAAATTATATGGGCCATATTAAAAATTAGTGACCCACACTATTAAAACGTACAAGTGCTTAACAAATTCTAAACTTACCATTGTCAGTTGACAAGCTACAGCTGAAGCTAATTGTTAATTGTAAATGTAATTGATAAACGTTAACTTGAAGTTCGAAGTACAAATTGCCCATGCACAAGGTAGCTGGGAACAACCAACGCGATACAGAGTCGCGCGAGTTCTGTGATGACCGCCATTGAGCTCCCAATAACACCGAAACAATAAACTACAGCCTCATGCGCTTCAGTTTATCTGCCAAGACCTCAAGGTGTCAAATTGATAACTATTTTTATTCATAAACTGATTTGACCAAAAAACGAATGACCTTCAATTCATGGTAAGTGATGTTGGCAAATTTTGACCTATTAACGCTAAAAGATGCATAAAGTACCGAGGATCCTACCTTTTTGGCAGTTTTAGCCTATCCTCTCCACTGGGTTGAAGCGCTAATCCTCAGTTGTTACTTGCGTAGACCGTTACTGTCCGAGACACGCTTTTTTGCGTTGGCTATCATGAGAGCATTTCTGATTTGGATTCATCAGGAAACTGATGAGAAGTGGATTGTGTTTTGTCACTTCAGTCGTTTATTGGATTCCTGAAGGCACTAGTCCCTAGGGTATTTGGGGGTATTTGAAACCCTGACCCCACTTAGGAAGACAAAAAAAGGGAAAATACTTGCTCTGACATGTATGCATAGTTAATAAAGTGGGATGGTCATGAAACATGTAAGACTTGTTTGTTATATGTTTTGTTCGCTTTTTCAGCATTTTTTTTAGAGCGTGCACAACGTTGAATAGCACTCCTATCATTTTGAACTTACTGTCCATTAGAAACATCGCATTAATTTATTCAGTCACAATTTTTGAACAAAAAACAAAGGATTGTGCTCGGTCAGCGAGCTTCCATCATAAACTGCAGCACCGTTGACCATACACTGCAGTACCGTCGTTTTCATCTTTGATGTTTGCTGGCTTTCATAACCAGTCTCCTCTACTAACAATGATGCATGTATATCATACATGGGGAGGAATAGATGGGGTCCTTACGTTATCCCGATACATAAGGCCGCCATCAAAAATATTAATTAACTATTCGGAAATTATTCTGGTACGGTCATCCCTGAAAGCTGTCACATTACTGCAAACCGTGATAAATCGGTTTTGATAATTGCTGGGACCGATTTAACCCTTGCCTTTGTAGAACTTATTTACAATAGTGTGTCTTAGAGAGTAACCATTAATTGCTGGTCAATGCACAGAAAGGCAAGTCAGAATTAGTGTCATCGTTGTAGATTGGTTCGCTTGGGCCCAGTAAACAGTAAACAAAACCGTAGTCTTATGCTAAATTGTATGTTCATCAACTATCCGATATGTGACTCTCCAATTTAAAGATCGGAGATCACCCTTCTTGTGTGTCAAAGGAAGCCCCGTCCGGGTTTTCGTGCCGGTGCAAAAGCTATACAGTAGAGTGTGAAAACCTATCCGTTGTGACTCTCCACAGTAGATTTTCGTGCCGGTGCAAAAGCTATATCCGGTTAAGTGTCTGTTTAGTCTGTACCCTGATAAAATCATCAGTTGGTGACAAGAGTCCTAGCCTGGATGAGCCTGATTACCACAGAGTGACGCTCATATTAACCCCGGGGCATGATAGACCAGTTATCGGGGGAAGGCAAGGTCGCCCGTTTAGGGCGAATAAAGAAGAAAGGGGATGATAGAGAAGGGAATTTTGTTCAGGTAATATTAATTTAATAATTGCAACGTGTCGCCCATATCCAATAGATTTGTCCGTGTTTTCGCCGTTGGTGAAGGATCGGGACACTTCGCGACGGAACCGCCAGAACCACCTGAACTATTGAGAGCAATGTAGGCTTTTCAGGTTAGTAACCGGATGACCGCATGCCTTTCCGATACGAAAGCAAGTTATGAGACCCGTCATGTGAAAGTCATGAACAAGTAATTTATTAACAATTCAAATGTATGTTATTTTTATGTACAATGCTCAGACCTGATTTTAGTCTAGCCTTAATACACTGTTTTGTGTCAAGACAGGAGCCTGATAAGAACGCTGCTATAAGCACTTTTAATCGGCGTTATTCAGACACGGTTTTCACGGTAACTGATCGATATTTCGAGCATGTTTGTCCGAATTAATTTATTATATTACAATTGGCGTGAATAATAGTTTTATGCCGGCATAGTTAACAATTTAAGGTAACTGTTTACTGTCGACCGTCGCTATACGGATGACAAGGATGAGCGTGGAATATATGAAACTTGAAAAAAATTGGGCCAATACTCTAGGCCGGAAAAAATCACCAAAATCTTATTATGGTTAGTGCTCCCTGATGAGATTTGTTTGATATTTCCTTCATAACTCTTCAGGAGCATTTTGTGTATGGTTAAACTGAGACTAAATCATGTTTTTTTTGTTCTGTCACTTGAAAAAAAAAAAAAACAACAAAACAAAACAAAAAAAAAAAGGTGTTTTAACCCAGGGAAAAAGTTGTTAACTCAAGGGCCCGCTTTTTTATACTGACACAAGGTTGTCCCTAGCCTGTATGTCCCGTTGGGACTGGAAGTCTTTCTACAAGCTAGTTTCATTTGAAATCAAAAGAGAACCCATGCTTTGCCTAAATAAAAGGGCACATTAACTTGAAAGAAATCCTGCTTTCATTTGCAGATAGA